TGTGACAGCGAGAGTGACATCGATGACAAGGTAAGACTCCCCCTTCACGCGCCTGCCTGTTTACTGCGGAGCGTCAGTCGGAGGCTTCAGTGCGCTCCGATACCGGCACTGATCATTTACATCTTATAGGGTTGAGACGGGACGGTGAGAGAGAGAGAGAGAGGGCGAGAGAGATAGACAGACACTTCTGAAGGCCGCTTGTGTTTTTTTTTGTGCGTGATTTCTGACTCTGACAGCTGGTGTCAGTGCGCGGTGGATGTCGAGCTGAGCAGAAACGAGAAGAAAACGTCACGTTGAGGGCAAGTTCGCAGTGGAGAAATCAGTACTTTCTCAAAAGCGTCGGACGTTTTGACACATTAGAGTGGCCTTGGCCTCTTCGGGCCGTTGCTGAGATACGTCAACGTGTCCGCCGTGTTGGTCCAGGCAAGACTGGCCTGTAAACAAATACAACTAAATGGTTTTTCTGGATGAAAACACTACAACGTTTACATTTCTCAACCGATTTCAGTGAGTCCTTTCATATTCAATGGGTTTATGATCTACATGGAGCGCGAAGAAGGTTTTGATTCTTGACGGCTCAAATCGCTGCTGGACGATTAGTTCTCCCATATTAGGTTCCTTCATCTGTCTGTGTAGTGATTTGTTTTTAAGACCTTTAAAAACTGTATGTTTTGCCATTTTAGGCCCGTTTTTTGTGCCCAGGAGTGTAAACTGATTTAGGCTCCCAGGGGCTTTAACACTTGGCCTCTTCAAAACAAAACGCTACCAACCAAAATCAAACCTGAGACAAAATACCCATAACTTACTTTTGTATTCAAGGGTTTATGATCTACATGGAGCACTAAGAAGGTTTTGTCTGCAGTTACTTCTATCTCGTTAGTTCTATTCGCTGCTGGACGCTGAAGAGAGGAGTGTGTATCAGCGTTGGGCTCGTGAATTCGTTTACTAATACGGGGGAAAATAATTAGTCAACAGGAATTGTTTGTTAAGCATGGATTTGGCTGAAGTTGGCTTCTTATTCGACTCTTCCGTTCCACCTGAAATGATGCAGCAGTTACTTTAATGGTGCGCCGGCGCCGGAATGAAACTGCAGCACCGTTGAAGGTGGAACGGAAAATTTGAGCTCAATCACTATGAAATAGTCGGCATGCAGAGACAGCAGTAACTTGATCACACGTGCCTAGCTAATGCTAGCTGATAGAATACATCTTATTTAAGGTGTGCTCACACTAGGCGATCCACACTGTGCCTGAGCACGTTTGACCCCCAGAGTCCAGTTCATTTGACTAGGGTGATCACTCCGTACCAGCTTGACTACTAAGAGATGGGCTCGGGCACGGTTCAGCTGGACTCTGGTCTAGTGTGACCTCGATTGTGACGTCAGTGATGCGACTGTCCCACTTTTCAGTTCATTCAAGAACTTTTGGCGGGGGGGTGCAGTCATGCTCGGCATGGTACAAGGGAACCGGGCATACATCCTTAGTTAACTCTGGGTACAGCTCTGTGTCGCGGGGTTGAGATGAAATCAAAATACAGTTCATATACAGTATATATCAGCGTATGTACAGTATCAGTTCATATTCAGTGTTTAATAGCTTATATACACTATATATCAGTCCATACACAGTACATATCACCTTATGTAGAGTATCAGTTCATATTCAGTGTTGAATAGCTTATATACACTATATATCAGTTCATACACAGTACATATCACCTTATGTACAGTATCAGTTCATATTCAGTTTATATTAGCTTATATACACTATATATCAGTTCATACACAGTACATATCACCTTATGTACAGTATCAGTTCATATTCAGTGTATATTAGCTTATATACACTATATATCAGTTCATACACGGTACATATCAGCTTATGTACATTATCAGTTCATATTCAGTGTTATTAGCTTATATACACTATATATCAGTTCATACACAGTACATATCACCTTATGTACAGTATCGTTCATATTCAGTGTTATTAGCTTATATACACTATATATCAGTTCATACACAGTACATATCACCTTATGTACAGTATCAGTTCACATTCAGTGTATATTAGCTTATATACACTATATATCAGTTCATACACAGTACATATCAGTTTATGTGCAGTATCAGTTCATATTCAGTGTTATTAGCTTATATACACTATACATCAGTTCATATACAGTACATATCAGCTTATGTACAGTATCAGTTCATATTCAGTGTTTATTAGCTTATATACACTATATATCAGTTCATACACAGTACATATCAGCTTATGTGCAGCATAGGTTCATATTCAGTGTTATTAGCTTATATACACTATGTATGAGTTCATATACAGTACATATCAGTGTATGTACAGTATCAGTTCATATTCAGTGTATATAATCTTATAAACACTATCCATGAGTTCATATACAGTATTTAGCAGCATATATATGCAGTATCAGTTCAGTTTCAGTGTATGTTAGCTTATATACACTATGTATGAGTTCGTATACAGTATATGTCAGCATATATCCAGCATATAGCAGTTCAGATATAGTGCATATCAGCTCAAATACCGTATACATCAACTTATATAGAGTATCAGTTTATGTTCACCATATGTTTCAGCTTATAGCATAATCAGCTCACATATACTGCATATTAGTTTATATACAATATATATCAGTTCAGATACAGTTTATATCCGTTCATATACAGTATATATTAGCTTACGTACAGCATATTTGAGGTTATAGTATATAGCATTTCATATACAGTATAGATCAGTCTACATACAGTGCATATGAGTTTATTTTCACTATATATAGAGATAGAGACTGACTGAGGTCTCCAGGTAATAGTTTATCTCAGTTTAAGTCGAATGTTTGAACAGAAATTATCAGTAGGAAATGTAGAAAATCAGAAAATGAGGTTGTGATTGACGTCGATTTGGAGCTGTGTGGTTCAGGGCCCTCAGGAACCTTCATACAGGACCCGCCGAGATATTGTTACAGGACAAAAACACAGGTAAGAAGCTCATAAGTCAAAATATCAACTGTACACTGCAAAAAATGATGAGAAATCATCTTAAATCTAGTCTAAATGGCTAATATTTTTCATTTGAGATTGTTGCACAAATATTATAAGATCATAAAATGTATTTCTAGATGGTTTTCCTTATTTTGAGTAATTATATTAAGTAAAATGATCTCTCTATATTTTAAGAAATGTGCATGAAACCAGCAAAAATTATCTGCCAACAAAGTGAGATGATTTTACTCAAAACAAGTAAAAATGTCTCGAAATAAGTCAAAATAGTCTTAAATTAAGCCTACAGCAGTCTTAAAATGAGGAATTTTAGCTATATTGACTAGATTTAAGATAATTTTACCTGCCAATAAACCATTTTTTGCAGTGTATGCCTCTAATAGAGAGACGAGGCAGTGACAGGACGCTTCGTCTTCTTGCAGGAATCGTAAACTCAGTGAAGCGTTCAGTTTTATCCATCTTTATTTATGACTTTTTTGTGGAGACTTAATTCCAGTCGTGTGTTATCGTATATCTGTAATGTCTGTGGCGTTGATGATTTGGAGGTTATTTGCATGTTTTTTGCACAATAAACATCAGGTATCTTCCTGCGCTGGGTAATGTGTGACTCTTATCGTGGCTGATTTGGTATTTAAATCCACTCTAAACCTTCTGAAAAAGACCTATAGTAACTCTGGAGGACTCCAGTGCAGACAGTCGCTATAGTTTATGACAGCGTACTACACACGTTATAGGTTACTGTAAGGCAGCCCTGCAGGGGAGAATGTATTATAGATTAATTGGTCCCACTTTATATTAAAGTGTCTCTAATACCTATGTAGTTACATGTGAACAACAATGTAACTACTAATGATTTAGTCACTGTTACAGATGGATTACAGCAGTACACCGTATGTAATTACACATGTGTATCAACTTCAGTTTTGCCTCATGTAATTACACAAGTGTATCTTGATAGTTGTAACAGCCTATTCTCTCTGATGTAATTACACAAGGGTAATAACATGAATGTAATTACATTTGTAATCAGACTGGAGCAGCAGTTTTTTTCAGACATTTTAGTAAAAAAAATGGTTCTATTTGAAACCATGAACACTCAAAGAACCCTTTGCATGTTTAAGTGGTTCTTTGCATGGTAAAATGTATTTTCACACTGACGGAGAATGTGCTATAGGTGGTTCTATATAGAACCTTTTTGAAAAACCTTCTATATAGCACCAAAAAAGTGTTCTTCTGTTGACATCGTAACAGTGGAAGAATCCTTTTTGGTGCTATATAGAACCGTATACACATTCTCCATCAATCTGAAGAACGATTTAACCATGCAAACAACCACAATCATGCAAAAGGTTCTTAGACTGTACATGTTTCTATAAGAACCATCTTTTTTAAGAGTGTAGAAAATGTCAGGTGGTGCAACCACACAGTGTTCAAAAATCTTATGTTTTTAAGTTACACTCTTAAAAAAGGTGGTTCTACAAGGGTTCTTTGGTCCATGAGTTCTATATAGGACCATTTGCAGGCTCAAATGGTTCTTTGCATGGTGAAATCGTTCTTCAGATTGATGGAGAATGATGTGTTGCTATATAGAACCATATACAACACATTCTCCATCAGTCTGAAGAAACTTTTCACCATGCAAGGAACCATTTAAGCACAAAATCCTTCTACATAGAACTCATGGTTCTAAAATAGAACAAATAGAACCATTCCTTTACTAAAGAATACTGGAAGAACCATCATTTTTAATAGTGTACAACTAATGAAAACATGTATAAACTAGTCTTTGTACTTGGACCCCTGTATAAACGTTTGTCCTTAAACTCAAGTGTAAACATACATACATTATTTATTATTACAGATAAATAAACATTATTATTGTCATTATATTTATATGAATAACGCACGTTCATGTTTTTTCTGGGGTCTCACCAAAACCCAAAAATTACAGTTTTTTCAAATTTTTGCATAAGAGAAACAAACATATTAGCAT